GTAGGATTTCTAGACTTAAATTTAGAATGCTAAGCGATGATTGTGAGAGGAGTGTCTACCATATTTTAAGAAACGAGCACTAGTATACTTTAGGAAAGTTTCCTAAAATTCTTTTATGCGCTAAATGTTATATGTTGGCATATATGATATTATTTGTTCGAATCTATGGTCTGTTACCGACCAGATCGGGAAACCTTATATGTTTAGGATTCTAAGCATGCGTCTACAATATTAGAACTAGTATGTAAACGTTTCGGAGTGATAAGGATGATTTTAATATCTACCGTGAATAAAGATCTAAAATCGCCTTATTCGGTGTATAGATCAAAAATGGCAAGAACCAGGAGTGGAGTTGGAAACGTGAACGAAAACAGGAATCATCCACCTGTGGTTGAGAGAGTGGTTGTTGTAGCAGCAACACTTGAACCAGTCACAATGGCTGGAGTGCGAACCATGATTCAAGCCATGATGGATGAAAAAAAAGAGGAAATGAGACAATTGTTGCAGAACAACAAGAGTTAACCCTCAATACCAATTGATAGCCTGAGCTGAATGAGGGGCAGTCAGAAGGAGGGAACTATAGTGGGACCGTTGGTCTAGCCAACCCACCGATAGATAGATGAAACAATCAGGATGGAGGAAATGATGGAATTGGATGCAAGTACAAGGATTTCATGGCATCCAAACCACTGTGTCTTTCTGGGAGCTCGACACCAGTGCAAGTCATGGAGTGGATCTCCGAAATGGAGACAATGTTTGAAAGTTGCAATTGTAGCAACATACAGAAGACCGCTCTTGCAATTCCTTTGTTAAAATCTGGAGTACTAAGCTGGTAAGTTACTGGCTGGTTCGATGCCCAAGGGGGAAGCTAGCAAGATGTCTTGGGAAGAGTTCGTGGTGCAACTGGAAATGCAATACTACTCTGAGCAGGATTTTATGGAAATCAACAATGAGTTCCAGAATCTGAAGAAGGTAAAATTGAGTGTCACTGAATATGCTACAAGATTTACGGAGAAGATGAAGCTTATTCCAACTGAACTTTCCAAGGTCAACAAGTTTGCCAATGGATTACCAGCGGACTTTGGTCCGATAGTCAAGCAAGCAACCACTCTGAAAGCCGCCATTTGGAAATCCAAAAATGTTGAGACCCAAATAAAAGAAATGGGTCTGGAGAGAGGTGAAGTTGGAGAGAAAAGGAAACATGAAGGGTCTTCAATGATCAACAAAGATACAAAATTCTCGAAATCTGGAGGAAGAGATTAAGCTAAGTGGTGTGAGAAGTGTAAAAAGAAACAATTCGGGAAGTGTAGCCAGAAAATGACTTGCTACAAATGTGGGAAGACATGGCATTACGCCAATAAGTGCGCATCCAACAAAAAGGTGTGCTACGGGTGTAATGAAGAAGGGCATGTTTCTAGAGACCGCCTAAAGAAAAACGCACCGCCACAGCCAATAACATTCCACATGTTCCTCGACGAAGCAGAAAACGATGGGAGGATTAAAAGATGAAGACTTCATATTATTATATAAAGTCTGTATCAGGAAGCATAGCATGTTAGAGGCATAGTATAGGGTGAACTTGAACTTTTGTGTAATAGTTTCAAGAAATAATATAAACCCTGGTTTTGTTATCTGATGGTTAAATGATTGTGTGATTTATGTATGGTGACTTGGTTGACTGAGAGACAATACTTGGGAAGAGTATGAGTAGGTGTGAATGGTAGTAGAGATCTATGCTACCGGAAGCAAAGGACTCACACTTGGATTAGGGAAAGTCACAAGGTTACCAAGAAGCTAGTAATTGATTCCGTTTTATTCAAGTATGTCATTACCATTGTTTCGGTAATGACTAGTAAGATGGTTGTTATTCCGACACTAGTGGTCATATCAAATTCAGTCTGAATACAATGAGACGTCATTAGAACATGGCCCATCGATCTGTTACAATAGATAAAGGAAAGTATTTATCCTAAGAAGAAGAAGAAGAACGAGTCCTCAATAAGGAGTTACTTTGTAACTCGAAAGTTACGATTGAAAATTCAACATAGTAAGAATAACAGGTGCAGGATTGAGCATCAAGGATATTACTGTTGGATTAGTGTCTAAGTCCATAACTATTTTGGTATGTACTTGACCCGATGGTGCATGGTCCTTTTGGGTTGCCTTCACCAAAGCAACTTGATAGGATGAATTATGGAGAGTAAGGATTAAATATGATTTATTAATGTATTATGAGAATAATATATTAAAGGAGAAATCATATTGTTTAATTAATATTAGTCAATAATTAATTGGTAATTAGTCTTGTGACTAAAAGAGATTAATTAAACTTAAGGGACTGGAATTGTAATTATAAGATAATTATAATTTGGGCCATGGATTGCCTTATATTAAGGGATGGACGAATTCTAATGGGAAACCCATAAGGAAATCGTCCATGGGCTTGATAAAAGGAGTCTATGGGTTGCTTAGGGCTTAAGCATCCAAATTAGGGTTTCTTTGTTAGATAACCCTAATAGCCCAACTATATAAAGACCCCTTAAGGCTCAAAAATGTGGCTAATGTTCTTGTAAGGGTTTACACATGTTTTTGGCAGCCTCCATCCTCTCTCCTCTTCATCCTCTTGCTTATGGTGTTTGTGAACCATTAGAGGAGTGACACTTGTGACTCTAAGCATTCCAAAGTCAATACAAGGAGATTTGGGATTGTTATTGCTACATAACAATCAAGGTATGATCTTAAACCTAATTACATATTAATATGATTACTTGTATGCTAGAATTAGGGTTTATAGTCTTGGATTCAAAGCATGTACAATAGAGAAACCTAGATCCAAGCATTAGGGTTTGTATGAGCACATAGGATGTCTTATGACCAAAACCCATCAATTACCTAGGATGGGGAGGTAACATATGGAGTCAATATACGAGTCCTATTTCATTGATGATTCTGGGACGTAATCATCCTAAGGGGGAGATAATTGTAACGCTCGTAGATCAGGGCTAGTCAATTTAGAGATAATGAGCATCAAAAATGACTTTTTGATGGAAGATTATTTAGAAATATTAATCTTAACTAATTTGTAGTATATGTCATGAGGTTTCCGAATATATAAAGAATGCCGAAATCCGAGTTATAACGAAGAAGTTACGACCTGTCGAACTTTCGCGATAGAACCGGCACGACGCTGAATGACGTAAAATATGAATTTAAGATAGAGTGATATCTAGCCTTAGGGTTCTAAACGAAAGTCGTAGAATATGTTAAACTGAGGGCGTGCATAAAAAGAACGCCCAAATTTGACTTCGTATGAGGAAGTTATGTTTTTCTGAAGTTTCGACTTAGCGGTATGCAACCCGAATACTCGAATATGAGATCGAGTGATTTTTAGCCGAAACAATCTAAATAAGAATCGAAGATCTCGTTGATATTAGTCCAACAGTAAAAAGACAGACGAAAACGGACGTCGGATGAAGAAGTTATGAATTTCTAATGTAATTTTTCTGTCCCGGCCTACTAAAAATAATATAAACGTAATATGTTTATAATATATTAAAAAAAAGTCAAAATTTTACAACGGAGTCTAAATGAGAGTTGTAGATCTTGTTTTTACCTACGGTTCGATATAAAGAACGTCGAAAACAAATTTTGTATGCAAAAGTTATGAATTTCTAAAGTTTGGGACGCGAACCCCAAAGATGTGTCAGTGGCCACGATGTGGAAACAGTGCCCACGATGTGGCATGACTTCTGACACCTTCTGGAGCCTGACAAAGCAAGTGGACAATGAAGCATGCAATGACGTTCAAGCCCGCGGCGTGGAAACAGTGCCCACGACGTCGAAAATGTGAAATTTTCCCTATAAATAGATTTGAAGGGGCAGCCGGCCAAGGTTGCTAATTCACCCTTCTCTCACCCATACTACCTCGATTTACATGCAAGGAAGTACCCCCGAAGCCCCCGGTATCATCCTGAGGCCCAAAGCGAGTCCCGAAGCCCCAAAGATCCCAAGAAGAAAAGAGTTTCTGAGTCGAAGCTCTGTCCACGAGAAGTCCGGTGTGTGAAGTGATTCCAATTCCACCGAAGAATCTACTCTTAGAGACGTAGTGTTGTCCGATCATCTTCTGATCATGTGAGTGTATAGTTACTTTCTTCTAACACATAAATATAAAGTATTAGCTATGAAATACGTGCTATGTGTTATATATTATTTGTCTATTTGAGATAGGCTTGGAATTGATGTTTTTTACACAGGTGTTAAATGATTTAAATTGTGTTTGTATTTATATCTACAAAAATGTTGGGTAGAACATGGGTAGATGTAATAGTTGGTGACGATGCGACTTCGTACCTATTCGATAAACCTTGGTGACGATGTGACTTCGTGTCTATTGTATAAACCCTGGTGACTATGAGACGTAGTGCCAATTGTATGAACCCTGGTGACTATGTGACGTAGTGCTTGTTGTATAAACCTTGGTAGCAAATGGACTTTGTGCCAGTTCCTTAAGTGAATCCTTAGGGATGAATGAATGAAGGATATTTGGTTCTTAGCGTAAACCCATAAGAAATAAAGGAGTTATAGGGATGGGTATTTGGGTTGATTGTTTGATGATTGAATAATAAATGTATTATTGTGGGTTGAAAACCCTATATGCTCACCAGCCTCCCAAGCCCGACCCACTCAATTTTCTTTCTATCACATGTATCAATATGAAGACATATTTCACTGAGGGATTAAAGGAGATGTAAATCATTAGTGTTAATAATTGTAAGTTCTGTTTATGCTTATGTGTCTGTATCAGAACATGACATCCCGAGATTTTGTTATATAATGAAAATACATTCTCTGTGAGAAACGTTTTGATAAATTCTTATCATATTTTGTTTTGGTAACAAATTCCGCAACTCTTTTAATCAAAAGATTACTTTGATTTTATAAAACAAAGCATAAACAAATTGGTCTTTCTTGGCCGTGAAAATAGGGATGTCACAGCTAGGATGCAAGATAACTTGGGAATCTTGTCTTTCCCAGTACGTGACTGCATATGATTAGGGTTCTCATGATTTTCCCCCGCTACCATCGAGGCTTTGGAGCTTCTCTCTAACTCACATCTTTCGATCAACCTTTTATATGCAGTTGTGCAGGTTGGTTCGTACATTGTGGCGACTGCCTCTCGACTTCGTCAGAGCGACTCAAGCTCCGGTGAGCTTGTTTTGAGTAAGGTCGAGCGGGATGAACTGAAAGTAAGGTTGCTGGAGTTAGAGGGAGAGAAACGGTCATTTGAGGAGCGATATGATGTTTTGGCAGGGGAGAAAGCGTCTTTGCAGGACCAGGTAACTGCTTTGGTGGGTCAGTGGAATGCTTTCCTTAACGAATCGAGGTTTTAGTGGAGGAGAAGGGGGTGTTGGAGAGCCAGGTGGGTTGTGTTAATAAGCAGTTGGAGGAGGAGATTGCAAGGAGAAAGGTTGTAGAGGAGGATTTGGGGTGGTTACTTCAAAAGGGCATAGTTCGGGTGGTGGATAAGGTTGTTAAGAGCGCTGAGTTTTCATTGGGGGTTAGGCAGATAAAGATGGCGTGTGTGGCTATCGGTGTGGAGAATGGCAAGCAGGTGATTCTGGAGCAGGTTGTCGATAGAATTGTCTTCAGGGAACCAGACACTACTGTGGAGCATGCTCAGGTGATGCATGCTACTGTAAAAATCTTTCATGGAGACAGACTTTACCTCCTACATTTTCCTGGGTAAGCTAGAAATTTGGGGCCTTCTCCATATGTTTATAATATATTAAAAAAAATCCTGAAGGTGGCTCTTCTCGTGTTGGACCTTCCTCCTTATAGTTTGTTTTATTTACTTCTTTTTATAGTTTATTCTAGCATATTTCATTCATAATTTATACAATTTCCATACATATTTTCCTTTTTGTTATTTTATGACTATTTCGGGTACTTTCGAATACTGTGAGCATAATTGCAGGTTTTCGGGTCTAGCGGAGCGGGAGTGTTCGGGACGTATGGAAAGCGATGGGAGTTAGTAGACAAAAAGGATGTTAGGCTTGGTGATTGTGGAGATGATGCATGGAGCGAGCTTGACGATTATTTAAAGGCTTGTAGAAAATGAAGTTTGAATTTGTAAGAACCGGAAGAATATTCGAGCGTGTGGAGATTGTTAATCGGGCGAGCGCACGAGCTTTGGAGGATTTGGAGAGGCTAAATTAGGCTTAAAATGAAGGAAAAACTTGAAGAAAATGGTCAAGGAGGTGATTGGACTCGATCTGGGCTAGTGGGATATGCTTTGGAGGCCCAAAAAATCAAAGAAGCCCATGTCAGGCACCACCCGCGCAACCCACCAGCGCAGCAGCACGCAGGTCGCGCAAGGCCCTGTAGGGGTATTTGTGGGAATCCATGTTTTGAGCTATATGGGGAAGGTTGGTGCCTATCTTTTGCTGACTCTTGGACATCCAATTTTTGATGATTCTCTTTGGATTTTTGAAGACTTTGGAAGGCCAAGAACACCTCAAGAACATCATCTTTTTACCTCTTGATTCTTGCTTAATGTTTGGTACAATCTTCTCTAACTTTGTTTCTTTGAGTTTGGCATGCTTGGCTAAACTAATCTTGGTTGACTTTTGTTGAATCATTTGAACTTTTGTTGAATGTTGAAGAATCCATGAACATGTTGTTAAATCTTTATGGGGATGTTTTGTGTTTTAACATCTTATCACTACTTGTATGTTTTAGTTCATTAGTTTAAATGTGTTTGTGGTGATTAGTTGGCTAATTTCTTGATTAAGTAAAAGATCCTCAAATTAGCAAGCAACAAATGATTTTTGTGTTGTTTTTGCTTCACACAATCATAAAAACATTTCCTCCAACATGGTGGTGAAAGCATTTGACCCCTCTTGGATTTGGTGACTTTTTGGTTCTTAATGCTAGTTGACTTTCACTAATTACATGCTTAATGGAAATTGAAACTTTGACTAAGGAAATTGTTATGAGCTTCTCTAACCATTTTAACAACTAAGAAAAGTCTAGGTTAACTCAAGCTTCTTGGATTACTATAGCCAAATTGAGGATTTAAAACAAGTATTGCACCATTGGATTCTAATGATATGTTCATCAAAAGTCAAAGTGAGGAAACCTTAAGTCAACCATCCTTCTCTTATTGATTTACATCAAATCTTGTTTTTGTTAAATTTTCAATTTAAATCATAGTTTAATTCTAGTTTGTTTCAAGTATTTCAAAAGATCAATCGCCCCATTTTTAATTTATTGTCATTTTACAAGTATTTTTACAAAGAGATTTTTCATAGAGTTATAAAATTGAACCAATCTCCGTGGATACAATCCCTTTACCACTATACACTATTTTAGTGGGTAATAATTAGGGTTATTAATTTTGTTGGCCTCCATAACCACCACCTCCACTCCTCAGTGAGTGATATTTTTTTCCCTTTTTTGTTGTTTGATGTTTAAAATGATATTTACATTTGCGTGGTGCTTGTTGAACAATGTATTATTTTCTTCCTTGGCCCTGCATGGTCTTTTTCAAATCCAGGGGGGGGGGGAGGTTATCCGGTTTAGACAATTTGTTCGTTCTGTTTCTTGTGTGCTAAGTTTGCTTTTTTGGTATATCGCGTTTATCCCCCTTTTTTTGTTTTGTCGTCTTGGATGGGTCAAGATCGGAGCCATGAAATCATCCATGCCCTCTGGCAGGGTCAAGATCGGAGCCTCACATAGCTTTTGCCTTAAAGTCTCAAATGACTCCTGCTACTCAAACGCCCAACGGAAAGCAATAGACTTCTTTGTCAAACTGGTCAATAGAACTGTGATCCTAGAGAAATTATCGATAAATATCCAATAATACCCAGTTAAACACAAGAAACTTTGAATCTCGGATGGAGACCTCGAAATCCCCCACTACATCATGTCCTCGAACCTCGCCGAATCAACCAATATACCCTTCTGGTTGACAAGGTGTCCTAGTAACTGCATCTCCTGCAACCAGAAATCGCACTTGGAAAATTTGACATATATCATCTCCCTCCTGAGAGTCTCCAGAACCTCTCGCAAATAATCCTTATGATGCTCTGTAACATCCGAGATTTCAGGTATATTAATTATTCTTTTTATTTTGAGTTTTGTGGAAGGACTCGGCGAGTTGGTGCGTAGACTCGCCGAGTTGAGACGCGGTTTTTCACCCGGATTGATGCCCAGACTCGGCGAGTCGCCTTGGTGGACTCGGCGAGTCTGCGATGTTTAATGAAACCCTAATTTCTCGGGTTTGAGGCCTATTTAAAGGACCTTATGGTCGTCATTTGCGCTCATTAGTCCCCAGAGTGAAACCCTAGAGCATTTGAGTGATTCAAGTGAGGGAAGGAGCCATTGTTGATCTTGGAGTTGTTGTCTAGCAAGGGAAGAGGAGATCTAGCCAAGAGGAAGCAAGAGAGGGGTGGATTCTTGAAGAACTAAGGTCCAGGACATCACAACTGAGGTACCATTCGAATTCTTCCTAGTATTTGTGATGGTCATATAGATTTAGGGTTTTTGAACCCATTTGTGGCTAGATCTAGTATCCTCATAGTCCCTTGGCGAGTTATGGCTCTGAATCTAGACCCATAGAGGTCCAGAGCACCTCTTTGCCCAAGCTTTATGTGCATCCATGAG